CTCAGGGAGAATTAAGCCTCTTATTTTCAATTGGTTTTCAAATTAACTTGTTGAATTAACCTATGTTCTATCCATCTGTAAAAATATACTGAATTCTACTCCTGCTGGTTGAATCAGTTTTGTTTTTTCAAAGGTGTTTGGCAAGTTTTCTTTTATTGCAACATAAGTACAGAAAAAAAAAGTAAATATTTTAATGAAAAATCTATCTTTATATTATCATTTTTATTTATTTTAAGAGATTTAAGTGAAACAGCTTGAAAATACTGTAATACAGCATTGCTAAAAGTAACTTTCATTGAAATAAAGGAATGCAAGAAAATCATTGAATCTCAGAATTTAAGCAATAGTAAAATTGTCTATATATTTTTTGTTAGGTTTATACAACCAAGAATATTTGTAAATAATCATTCTTTTAAAAGTTTTCTTAGAAAGACAAAAGTATACTTTGTTTTCATTGTATTTGAATTTTCTATTTGTTCATTAATGACCGATTAATTGCTCTTGTAATTAATGAAAGTTTTATTTTAATTTTTAAAATTATGTATTATCTAGAAAAAACTCTACGGAGATACACTTAAAAAACTGGATTGATGGAGAAATTTAATATTTGTCACACCAGGAGGACATAGTGTTTCAAATTTATGCTAATAAATGTAGATTTAACAGTTTTGAGTTGAGTACTAAAAGAATTTCTTTGTTACAACTAAATAAAATGATTTGTAATTTCAAAAAGAATGAATGGTGATAAGAGTGAAAAATTTTTGAAAAGATAATTATGAGTTAGGAATTCACTGCTAAATAGTAAAATATTTTTCAACCTTACAAATAATTGTAACACTTCAGCATTACACATAGACTGATCAGCAGAACAATAAAAACTCACGAAATAATTTTAAGTGAAATATTCAATATATGATCAATTACGTTCCTCAAATCAGTGGGGAAAGTATTAATTATGTTATACTGATTAGCCAGCTAATTAATTTTTTCAAGTTAACTGTCTATACAAGAAACTGTCTGGATTATTATAGAGTAAATTTTTTAAATACTTCTGTCCATCATTAGTAAGATATAATAGGACCTGCTGTTGGACATGAAAATTGGTACACCTTTGGTGGAAGAGAATTTAGCAATACACCTGGAAGATCTTAAAGTTCTCTATTTTAGTAGCCCATCTTGTTCTATGTCTAGGAAGTTAGTATATGGAGTATATTTCCCCCGTATAGTACTAAGGAGAAAAACTTTAGAAAATGGTATAGTCTTATGGAAATGCTGTTAGAGAAAGAAAATATATGTATGTATGTAGAGGCAAAAACGGAACATTTTATTCTCTTTGCTTTTTTATGTACGCTCTACAATGTGAAAGTTTTATTTAATGAGGATGTGGCGCGAAACACATTAAATGAGACAAGAGGGAGAAAAATAGCTTAGGTCTTGAGGATTCAAAAGAACTAACTGAAAGAGAACGAAAGGAAGTGGCATAAGCAGGCATGTTCCCTTTTAGGTCCCCTCCCCCAACCCAGAGGCATTTCCCGCCACAGCTCTTTCGGTTTTCATTCTGGTCCGCAGAGGTTACCTATAAAAGGGAGCTGCGAAGTATGACTGCATTTTTCTGTTCTCTGGCTTTCTGAAAATGTCTGGACGTGGCAAGGGCGGAAAGGGGTTGGGGAAAGGGGGTGCCAAGCGCCACCGTAAGGTGCTCCGTGACAACATCCAAGGTATTACCAAGCCTGCGATCCGGCGCCTGGCCAGACGTGGCGGAGTCAAGCGCATCTCCGGCCTCATCTACGAGGAGACCCGCGGGGTGCTCAAGGTCTTCCTGGAGAACGTGATCCGGGACGCCGTCACCTACACCGAGCACGCCAAGCGCAAGACGGTCACTGCCATGGACGTGGTCTACGCGCTCAAGCGCCAGGGCCGCACCCTCTACGGCTTCGGCGGCTAAACAACCTGGAACTCCCTAACTTACTAACAAGGCCCTTTTTAGGGCCCCCAAGTTCTCAGCGAAAGAGCTGTAGCGATTGTCGGCAAACAAGTGTCTTAAGAGCCATTGATAAGAGCAGTTTTACAAGGTTAACCCTGGGTGGGGTGTTAAACGTGGGCAGAAGTTAGTATTAAGTGATCCTGAGCCAAGTTTCTCCGAGGCGGGCGCGGAGCCTCTGCTGGCCAACCGCTTCTCTGGTTGCGGGTTGGAATTGCCTAGAGCCTGATTAATGGTGGGTTATAAGCCTAATCAAAAGTCGAGGCCGGATATCTGGAGGACCTCACGCAACACTAACCTCCCTCCCGTCCTTTAAATATATTCCTTAATGTCAGAGGGTGAGGGGACTGAAGAAAGCAATAGGTTCCAGTCAGAGTAGGAATCAAGTTTTGTGTTGCCTTAAGAAGGAGAGTTGTGGCCGAAAACTGAGGGTAAATATATCAGGTATACAGAAGACGCTAATGAACACACCACTTAAATGTTACCACTTAATTTAGTTCAAAAACAGTTGAATCCTTCCGTATGTCCTTGATCAATGGTATGGCTCTGTTTTCCCTATCCGGGAATTAACCCCCTAAGCTGGAATTAACCAGTATCCTGATTTTGCTGTTTATTCCCATGCTTTTTATTTTTTAACTGGAGATGCACATACCCCTAAACAATATATAGCATCATTTTGCACCTTTTAAAAACTTTAAAAAATATTTTTGTACAGATCTTTATGAAACATGTTTTCCTACATTGGCTTTTGAAATATATCCATGTTGAAAAGTGAATTCTATTTTATTCTCTCCGTTAAGTTTTGTAGTGTGTCAATAGTACATAATTTATATATTCATTTCTCTGTTGGAAATTTAAATTGCTTTATTTTCCCCTCATTACAAATAGCACTGCAATGGGCATTGTACACAGCTGTGCATTTTCATACCTAAGAGTGGAATTGCTTGGTAATATGATATGTGCATATTTAACATGAAAAGTAATGAACAATTTGCTTTCCAAGGTTGTATTTTTAGTTTACATTCTCATATTCCCCCAGGAGTCTTTGAGAGTTCTTGTTAACTCCACATCTTCAATATTTGCTAACATGTTTCCCAATCTAAAGATTTGCTAAACAGTATCTCATTGCGTATTTATAAAGTTGCACTTTTCTGATTATAACAAAGTTGCTTTTGAATGGGATTTTTGGCTATTTTGAAGTTTTCCTCCCCTTCTGGGAAACTACCTGTCCATATTCTTTGTGCATTTTTTTATTTCCTGGAATTTATGGTTTTTTAAGTATTCTTTATATATTTTGGTTTTTAATCTTTTGTCAGCATGTGGCAAATATATCCTGTCACCTTGTGGGTTGGTTTGTTTTTAAATGCTAATGCTATCTTTATATACACAAAAAATTAATTTTAATAATGTTAGATTTATATTTTTGATGGCTATTGTGAATGTTACCTTTTCATATAGGAGTTATTTCCCTCTCCCTCAATTCCCCAAAGAACTTCAGTCATCAATAGACAAAAAAATTTAGGCTGCCTATCTCATTATTTGGCTTGAATTCAGAGTAAGGCTTTTCTGAAAGAGCTGATAAGAGATTGATCTTTCTATTCTCTTAATAAGCAATGATTAACTGAATGCCTAAAGTTTGCAGGGTTTGTGAGAGACAAAAGAATGAAAGAGGAGAGAGAAATAATGCCTAAAATATACTGAAAGTTTATTCAAATTTGTTCTAAATGGCTTACATGGATTATCTCATGTAATATTCTTGTGAGATAGGATTTATTATCCTCATTTTAAAATGGCAAAAGAGGCACTGATAGCCAAGTCAAACAACAAAGTCACAAATATGTTATATTCTATAACCCAAACGTGTAATATTCTTAATCGCTCTCTCGCTAGATACAGAAGCCATCAGAAAAGAGTAGGTAGAGGTCCTGGTCCTACAATGGAGAATTTGGGGAAATGTGTCAGGCCAGGTACAAGATCTGCCTGTGGCTATTCCGATGTGATTTGATTATTCCAATCTGTTCTACAATTGGTTTGGTTGTGGGTCTGAGAAAGTTGCTTATCCTTTCCCTCCCTTCACTCAGATCTCATTGCTTCTCCAGAGGGCTCAGAATTTAACAGCTGAAAGGAATCACAAAGTTCAGATCAATATTCTTTTACAAATAGGAAAACATGCACAGACTTTAATTTGCTCAAATTAGAGGCAGAACAAGATCCCAATTCTTATTAATATGTCCTTTTTTTCCTTTATACCATGTATCTCTTTGTCACTTATTTCCCCTAGCCATATATATTTGACTTAACTAGTAAATTGGTCATACAAGATCTGTTTTGTGAACCCTCCTGCTGTTTCATTTCTTTACTCAGAAGAAAAGCTGTGCTTCCCATCTTTGCCTTGCATACTTTATCCCTCCTGGTGGTCTGCCATTTTCCCGACCCCAAATGAGCTGGAGGGCAAAATTTAAATGAGAACTGAGCGAAAGGCGCTGTTCTGACATTTTAAGGCCCCTCCCGCCATTCTACATCTTTTTAATCACACCGTATCGCCTAGAACATGAAGTAACTGCTGAGTTAAAAGGCTGCATTTTAGGAGGTCATTGAGACCAAATTTAATAATATATAAACGCAGATTAAAACTCCGATGGTAGAGGGAAAAAGGACACTGACACAATAGGCTAATAGGATTTGAACAGGAAGCCACTCTACTTGCACACAACTTAAGGACCTATTTTCGCGGCAAAGCCAGGAATCATTTTGTGTTCACACAAGCACAAGTTCAACGTGTTAACATCTCTGGTCTTGCCGTTTCCTTTATCATATATAATAGACACTTGTTAGCATACCCGATTTCATTCCAGCCGGAGACGGTTACCAATACATATTTTTTACTTAGTATAATGGGATCCTCACAACCACCTCAAAGTAATCGCCTGAACTCAAGCCTAGATTCAGAATATGTATTTGCAGCTCTAATATTGACAACTTAGTGGCTCTTAAAAGAGCCTTTGGGGATAGGTTTAAAATATGCTTACTCGGCAAATTTACTTGGCACTGGTGTACTTGGTGACGGCCTTGGTGCCCTCGGACACGGCGTGCTTGGCCAGCTCCCCGGGCAGCAGCAGGCGCACGGCCGTCTGGATCTCCCTGGACGTGATGGTCGAGCGCTTGTTGTAATGCGCCAGGCGCGACGCCTCGCCCGCGATGCGCTCGAAGATGTCGTTGACGAACGAGTTCATGATGCCCATGGC